CTATGAGGGATAAGGTTAAGTTTCCTATGAAGAATGGTTCTTATAAATACTAGAACTTGATGAAACAAGGTGTGAGTGGGGGAACATTCCGCTGTGTGTGTTCACACCTCCATAGAAGGGACACTCTCAGAGCATGATTCCTCCCATTGGTATCTCTTACAATTGCCTATTTTTAGTTACCTAGAGATTAAGTACACTGGAGAAACCAAGGGCCTTTAGCAAAGGAACCTCACAAAGCACAGCAATGAATTCTTAATTTACATGGTCTTATTCACCTCCGAAACCCTAGCATCTAGGGTAATGCCTGGTGACCTAGTATAAGTTCCATGAAAATATACTCTTCAAGGAGATGATGTTTTATGAACACATAATGCTTCAGAGATATTTCCTATCCAAAATCTGCCAACATATTTTAGCTAGACTTTATCTGGTTTATCTCAACCTCTGTTCATCAATGACAGTATAACAATAATTAGGACCATCTATGTAAAAAGACAAATGCAAACATGTCAGTATGTTGAGAAAACAGGCAAGAATGACATTTCTTGCCCCAGGAACATTAAAAGCTGAGTCACTTAACATTCTCTTCAAGAAGAAAAACCAATTACATCAAAAACTACATTTTTTTTTTAAAGAAAAAGATATCTTTTTTCTTTAAAAAAGCAAGAGCCTCACAGAAACACTGTTTGTTTTTCATAGAGCTTCAAATTTTAGTCTGATTCCAGGCTCTGCCCATTTCTTGCTTTTGCAGGGTCTGAAAAGTCAATTACTCTAAACATAATCTGTAGTCTTAGGAGCTGACACTTTGCCAAGTAATTTAAAATGCTTTGCTAAGGAAAACTCACAATTTTTCTCTTTTTTTTGAGATGATGCTATGGCAGTAAATTGTGTATACAATTAATTCATCCCTGAATATTTGCTATTAGTTCAAAGAGCTGAGAACTTGGGTATTCAAAAGGCAGAGAATACAGGTGCCTGACTCCTTGCTTTTGCTGACTTGCCTCCATTCTTCCAAATGTTGATCATAGATGAACTGGTATACTGGGAATGGTGCTTCACAGGCTAACTTTCATAGCAGTTGCATTCATTGCCATCTAAGACTATAATTACAATTATCAATGTGGGCATACTTCTGAAACACACTGTGGGAAATTCTCAAATGCCCTGAAAAATATACATTAACACATACTGCAACTTAAAGATGAGGCATTTCTTCAACATTTTTGGTTGGCCTTTTCAATTTACACCTTTGTAAAAAGTTGCCTTTAGTATAACATTTCGCACTTTGTCAATGCTTAACAAAACTTGGTTGGATGAATCGACAGATATTTTCTTATAATATTCTTTTAAGGCAAAAGATCCCTAAATATTTTTACTTAACCATGAGTAGGAGTAAGAGTCCATTGTTGATGAAGACAATGGATTTGGGATCTTCATCATTAACAGAGTTGGCTAAGGGCTTGTCTATTTAAGTTCTTGTTGGCTACAGACTTTTCTGTCTAAGTTCTTGCCTACCTCTGATATTCTCTAAGTTGTTCAAGGTCACAGTGGAAAAAGCAAGTGAGGGTGTCATAAATGGAACTAGAATCTTTGAACTTGTCCCCAGAATTACTGGCTATATTTCAAGAAACATCTGCTCAGAGAGGCATTTTCCACTGGAGAGAAAGTAAATAATCTCTGAAAGGAACTGCCCAGTCTTCATGAAGAATTGAGAGCTACCTAATCAATCTACAGTATAGACAGTGACCATTAAGAAAACTGAAGGTGAAAGTGAAGGACACAAAATGAGTTTTAGTCCGTTATTTGTTTCCACGCACAGATTCGTTCATTCATGGAGGTATTTTATACCCCTCCTAAAAACTGGATAAAGCACAGCTTGAGTCATGACCTGTTCCTGAAACAGGTATCTGTTTGCTTATCAGTAGATCTTATTTCCACATGTACTTAGGCACTCAATAATTCTGAGCACCTTCTGGGCCAGACTGGGCTAAGTGTTAGGGATACAGCAGTGAACAAAATAGATGCTGTTTCACTCATTGGCCTTGCAGCTCAGAATGTGAGAGAGCCATTCGGTTTAAAAATCACATAAATAAATGTACACTTATAAATTACTTGAGTCAAATGGGAAAAGAGAGAGAGAGACTATAGCAGGGGACCTGATTTTCTCTTTTAAGGAGCTTCTCTGCCGAAGTACAAGTTAAACTCAGACCTAAGATGACCAGCAGTTCATCAGGCAAAGTGTGGGAGGAGCTTTTTGATTTGAGGAAAGAGCATGTGTGAAGCACTTGAGATAGGAAGAGATTTAGTGCACTTCCTAAAGAAGAAGAAGGCTGGTGTGAGCAGTGTGGTCGGCAAAGAGAGCGGTGATATGAGGTGTTTAAGAGGCAGGCAGGACCTAGATCATGCACGGCCTGGGTGCTGTGCTAATGACTTTGCATTTTATCTTAATGCAAAGGTGACAGAGTGCGCTGATCTGTATTTTTAACAGATCACTTTGGCTGAACTGAGAATAAAACAGGAGGACAATAGTAGAAGGAGTGAGACCTATGAGAGGACTATTATAGGTCATGGAGGATTGGATTAAAGTGGTGGCAAGAGAAGTAAAGGAGAATCAATACATTTGAGATATATTTTAGAGGTAGGATCAACGGGTATTGAAGGTAGATTGGATGATGGGTGTGAGGGAAAACAGTGTGCAGTATGAATTACAAGTTTTGGCTTGGCCAATGGAGTAAATGTATGTGCCATTTACTGAACTGGAGAAGTGTGGAAGGGGGTAAGAATTTCAGTGTCAGTGTACCGGTGACAATACCACTGAAATGGATATGTGTGTGTGTGTGTGTGTGTGTGTGTGTGCACGCTATTTTTTCCCAGAAATAAATAAGAAAAAATATGTAAAAAGAAAGAAGAGGGAAAAAGAAGGGGACAGAATGATAATAAATAGAAAATAGAATTCCCAAGGGGAAGATAGAGGGTGGGGGTCAGGACTGCTGAGGGTATGTAATAAGAAAAATACATATTCAACATTATAGTAATTTTTTTTTAATTTGGGAAAAATCCCCTATGGTTTTCATCATGCAGATTACAGAAAGTAAATGGAGTAGAATCATTTCTGGTGAGTTTACACAAAGGTGGACTGTCATCCACTTACTGGTGAGTTTTTTAAGAAGGGATGTATCAAAACCCCCAGGGGAATGCAAGGAATGTGACTTTTGTGTTCATAAAAAGAACATGAGTTTTAAAAAAAAGATTCATTGACACCGAGCTAGAAGAAGGGAGATGAGAAGGCAGGATAAAAATAGAGATAGGAAAGACAAAGAGAAATGGGTGGATTTGTCCAGCAAGCAAAGATGTCTCTGCCACCATGCCTATGCCAGTGCAGATGCTAGTGGTCACCTGGGTGTGAATCCCAGCCTGGCCACTCCATGGAGGATGATTGCGGGCATGTCAGGTAACCTCTCAAGCCTCGTTTTCTTATTTGTAAAGCAAAGATAATGATAGCATCTACATCATATGGTGACTGTCAGGGTTAGGAGAAATAATTCACAAGAAGAGCTTAACAGCACGCCTGGCTCAGAGGAATAGCTCAATAAATGTTAGCTGCCTTAACATAGCTGACTGTTTATAGATGCATAATTACTAGAAAGTCATCACTGTAGCCTGCCTTCTCACTTCCCTATGGCTATGGTGACTTTGCCCTCTTAGCTTCAAAATCATATAGTTCACTGTATCAAGAAATAGATTTATGATTTGTTAAACATATTGGAGGATTTAATTAATATTTATAAAGAATTTTTTTAAAAAGCAAAGCTGTTAGGCTTTGCTTGTTGCAAATTAATGAAAATGCCCCAGCATAGCCAAAAATATGTTTCTCATTTATTTCTAGAAATGTTAGATATAATTTAAAATTTGGTATTTAACTCCCCTCAAGAGGCAAATCATTGACTTCTAAACTTATTGTTTGAAAATCTCCAAGAACAGAGATGATGTTCTAAGGAGATCTTATTTACTACGAATCACTCAAAAAATCTATGTTTTCTCTGTCATAATAATATTATGAAGCCATGTGAAGATATTCTGTCAGAAAACGTAACAACACAAGCACCACATTCCATGTAGAAATATTACAATTGAGATCTTCCCATTTTATACTAAATTGGAACTATCTTATGGAACACTGTATTCTCTTTTTCTTTCTCTCACTGACTGGCTGCTTCAGTAAGATAGGATTTTATTATTTGTTATACATATGCTTTAGAATCATAATGTAGAATTATGTCTAACCTTTAGACTTAGAAAAATTTGTTTACAGATTGTTGTAGAAAAACTCAAAACATCCTATGATCAAATCTGAACTCCACATTTATTGAGGGGATTGCCTTAACTTAGCTCTGACTTTAGTTTTCTTATATAAAATGGCAGTTACTAAGTAAGATAACAGATGTTAACATCTAGCATTATAACCTATTATAGAGGTGAAGATTATATTCTTTGTGGTTAGTAAGCACCGACTAGTTCTGCAGTTTTGGATGAGTTAATACCTCAAGGAGTCAGTTAAATGATGACATTAATTTAATAATTTAATTAAAATATGAAACGGCAATAATAGTATCAAATAGGCGATGTGATGCATGGAGCAGAGCATTACTATTTAAAATGTACTAATCAAGAATGCAGCTCTCTTTGAACCTTCCGTATGAGGGGAAGGGTGCTAATTAAATTCCAAAGTACATTCTTTGGGAAGAATATAATTAATGCCTTATTAACAATGCATGGGGACCGAGAACATTTAGAGCATCGTGTGATCACGTGTCAGGGCTCTGTGATGACACTAGGAGGTCAATGCTCTCAATGCCTCCCCCTGCCCATGGGAGCAGAAGGGCTCTCCGCCCTGAGGAAGACGTAGGGTGCAGAGCAGCGGGCGGAGGTGGGTTCGACCGTCCGTCCCCGCGGAAGCACATGCAACCGGAGAAGATGAGGTGAGAAAGCGCATGCAGTACCTGATCATCTCAGAGTCGGGGAGCAGGCCTAGGTGGTAGTGGGGGTAGGGAGCTGCGAGAAGGAAGCTTTTGTCACACTCAACAGGGGAATAGTGCCTGGGAGAAGCAGGCTTATCACACAGTTTGTTCACAGTGCTGTAAACGGGTTCCGGAGGCCTGGTGACACAAGAGAAAGAGATGCAGGGTTAGCACTCACCCCGAATGACGGGCGCCAGCAGCATCTCACCACAGGCGACGGCGAACGCCCCAGACAATGCCACGGCTTCATAAGGCCTGAGGGGAGAGGCTCTTTACAAACAGGTCCTCGGGTTAGGAGTCAGAACTTTGGCCGACATGTGGCATGGCTAGAAGTCATGCGTCAAATACCTCAATAGAGTCACAGAAAGAGACACGCATGTGCACTCAGTCCTGTTCCACTCTGGGGCCCCACGGACTGTAGCCCGTCAGGCTCCTCTCTCCATGGAATTTTCTAGATAAAAGTACTGGTGTGGGTTGCCATTTCTTCTTACACCAGGGAATCTTCCTGACCCAGAGACCGAACCCAGGTCTTCTGCATTGGCAGGCAAGATTCTTTACTACTGAACCTCCTGGGAATTCCAACAGAGTCATAATCAACTTTTAAACGTCATATCTTTTTAGATAAGCCAGCCTGAAAGGCCAAAATTTGGGATCCTCTGACATGGCTCCTTCTTACACTGGAATCTCATCTTAAATGTGAACTTTGCATAGATTTTCCCTGACCACACTGGCCAGGACACCTTGAACTTTTTTCACAGCACCTATTCATATTTTATAATAATCTTTCTCAGCATAAAATAATCTTTTTTATATTTTCTTTAACTTTTTATTGTCACTCTCACTACACCATAAATTCTATGAGGAGAGAGACTACATTTATTTTTTTTTTAACCATTTACAATACAGTGTGGCACATAATACATACTCTATAAGTATTTGTAGACCGCATGTGTGAATGAATAAATGAATACAACTTCCCATATTTATACTGCAAAATTTTTGCTTGGTGATTTGCGGGGGGTGGTTGGCTTTACCTAAGAATCTAATAGGTTCCTCCATATATTTATTCACAGTGTGATTCCTGCCCCCTCGAATTGACTTCAGAGAGTTTTCCACAAGGAAGATTTTAGTAACATTTCTATTAAGTGAATTCATCTAGGGATACTGAAACACCATCTAAAATAGCAACATTTTTATAGCTGTTATTGACAAACATACATATTATAATCAGATAAAATTTTCTATAGTTTCTGGTCAAAGATTCATATACTACAAAATCCTCTTTTTATTAAAAAAAAAGTTTCACAGCTCTCTTCTCCATTTTTTAAACACATGGTCTGAAATTACTTCCAGTATCTTTCCATTATGTAAGAATGAAAAGATGGGTATGGAAATGAAAGGACTGTGAGTGGTCAGGGTCAGGGACCCAGAAAGTGCAGGCTTAGCTGGGAAGGTGAGGAGCAAGTCAGGAAACTGGGCCATGCCCAGAGTCACAGCCAGGGGTGGCAAATTGCATCTCCTGGGGCCACAAGACACCAGAGGCAGCCAGTGGTGGTCACGAGCCTGAGCAGAGGCACAGAAAGTGAACTCAGGGACGGCATGGTCTGTGTTTCTGTAGCTGCAGCCCTCAGAGTGGCTCCTACTGTGTAACAGATGCTCAGTCAATGCGGACTGAGAATGGGGAACAGGGCAGAACAGAGGATAAACCAAGCATTAAAAACGAACTACCTAATTGACAATATTACCGTGGTCAATCATGTGATGTCATCGTAGACATAACGCCTAGGGACCTGGATTCTTTTTTGACACAAATCTTTCCATCACACAGGAGATTCTTTGACTTGTTTATTCTGTATAACACAGCAGAGGGCCTATTTGTCCTATGCAATAACGACCTCAGTGGGAAAATGGAGTACTTTACAATGGAGTCAGCTTGTTCTATCCCAGCGGCTGTAATATTTACAAGAAGAATTAGAAGTTTTTAAAATAAAAGCGCCAGATTTATTAGGGAATCTATCCTTAGAGAAGACAACTGCTCTGTTTTAAGAAAAATCCAGTAAGTTCATAAATTTCTGGTTGTCAATTTATACATATACATAATTTATACTGGTAAATACAGCACTTAAAAGAGGCAACTGTAAATGATTCTTAAAAACAGCTCTTTTTTTTTTTTTAAATGATATTTGTTTTTCTCTTTCTGACTTATTTTACTCTGTACAAGAGGCTCTAGGTTCATCCACCTCACTAGAACTGACTCAAATGCATTCCTTTTTATGGCTAAGTAATATTCCACTGTATATATGTAACACAGCCTCTTTATCCATTCTTCTGATGATGGGCATCTAGATGGCTTCCATGTCCCAGCTATTGTAAATAGTGCTGCTAGTAAAACAGTACAGATGAACCTATTTGTAGGGCAGGAACAGAGATGCAGACATAGAGAACAGACTATGGACACAGCAAGGGAAGAAGGGGGTGAGACAAATTGAGAGAGCAGCATTGAAACATGTACAATACTATATATAAGTTCAGTTCAGTGGCTCAGCCATCTCCGACTCTGTGACCCCATGGATTGCAGCATGCCAGGCCTCCCTGTCCATCACCAACTCCCGGAGTTTACTCAAACTCATGTCCATCGAGTCAGTGATGCCATCCAACCACCTCATCCTCTGTCGTCCCCTTTTCCTCCTGCCTTCAATCTTTCCCAGCATCAGGGTCTTTTCAAATGAGTCAATTCTTCCCATCATGTGGCCAAAGTATTGGAGTTTCAGCTTCAGCATCAGTCCTTCCAATGAACATTCAGGAATGATTTCCTTTAGGATGGACTGGTTGGATCTCCTTGTAGTCCAAGGGACTCTCAAGAGTCTTCTCCAGCACCAAAGTTCAAAAGCATCAATTCTTCAGTGCTCAGCTTTCTTTATAGTCCAACTCTCACATCCATACATGACTACTGGAAAAACCATAGCTTTGACTAGATAGACCTTTGTTGGCAAAGTAATGTCTCTGCTTTTTAATACGCTGTCTAGATTGGTCATAACTTTTCTTCCAAGGAGCAAGCGTCTTCTAATTTCATGGCTGCAGTCACCATCTGCAGTGATTTTGGAGCCCAGAAAAATAAAGTTTCCACTGTTTCCCCATCTATTTGCCAGAAAGTGATGCAGCCAGATGCCATGATCTTAGTTTTCTGAATGTTGAGCTTTAAGCCAACTTTTTCACTCTCCTCTTTCACTTTCATCAAGAGGCTCTTTAGTTCTTCTTCACTTTCCGCCATAATAAACTTTCTGCCATTTGCATATCTGAGGTTATTGATATTTCTCCTGGCTATTTAGATTACAGCTTGTGCTTCATCCAGCCCTGCGTTTCTCATGATATACTCTGGATATAAGTTAAATAAGCAGGGTGACAATATACAGCCTTGACATACTCATTTTCCTATTTGGAACCAGTCTGTTGTCCCATACCCAGTTCTAACTGCTGCTTCCTGACCTGCATACAGATTTCTCAGGAGGCAGGTCAGGTGGACTGGTATTCCCATCTCTTTACGAATTTTCCACAGTTTATTGTGAACCACACAGTCAAAGGCTTTGGCATAGTCAATAAAGCAGAAATAGATGTTTTTCTGGAACTTTCTTGCTATTTTGATGATCCAATGGATGTTGGCAATTTGATCTCTGGTTCCTCTGCCTTTTCTGAAGCCAACTTGAACATCTGGAAGTTCATGGTTCATGTAATTGCTAAAGCCTGGCTCGGAGAATTTGGAGCATTACTTTGCTAGTGTGTGAGATGGGTGCAACCGTGCGGTAGTTTGAGCATTCTTCGGCACTGACCATATAAAATAGATAGCTAATAGAAAGCTGCTGTATAACAGAGGAGAGCTCAGTGTGGTGCTCTGGGACAATCTAGAGGGTGGGATGGGGTTGGGGGGGTTCAAGGGAAGGGACCTATGTATACTTTGGCTGATTCACATTGTTGGATGGCAGAAGCCAACACAATATTATAAAGCAATTACCTTCCAAGTAAAAATAAAAATTTTAAAGTATTTTTATCTGTTTTTATAGATAATTCACTGATAAATACTTTTTAAAAAAATTTATTTTTAATTGGAAGATAATTGCTTTATAATACTGTGTTGGCTTCTGCCATCCAACAATGTGAATCAGGTTTTTTTTTTTTCCCCTATCAGTTTATATAAGTAATTCATGGGCTTCCTAGGTGACTCACTAGTAAAGAATCTGCCTGCCAGTGCCGGAGACAGGACATACGGATTCAATCATTGGGTCCAGTGGATTTCCTAGAGGCAGAATTGCAACCCACTCCAGTATTCTTGCCTGGAGAATCCCATGGACAGAGGAGCCTGGTGGGCTACCAGTCCACAGGGTGGCAAAGAGTTGACAGGAACTAAATACACACATGCACTTAATTCACACAGTGGGAAGTTATGTAAAAGAAAACATACTTTCAGTTAGCAATTGAAATACATCTTTTAAAACAGTCAGATTGACTATTGTTCATGATTTGGGGACAGAGAGTCTGCTTTTGCTTTGTTGACATAATCAGCTTTATGAAGATTAACATATATTTCCCATGGTTTTAGAGACAGAAAGATGCATGATTCTGATTAGACAAAGTCACCTTGGGAGATCACAGTCTTATTTGTACCTAAAATGTTCTGTCTGCACAAAAATTCAGCTTGGGAAAAGTGTTGTATTACATAGGCTGCATAAATATGAATTAAATAAGAAATGAACAGACAGGTATGAGCTCTATGGGAATTATTCTGGGTAGGTTATCACAAGAGGACCTGCTTTATCCTTCAATTTTTCCACCCTGAAACAGTGCCACTGTGGAGGAGCTAGCTGGATTGCTTCCCAAACATTCATTTTACTTATTTCTTAACATTTTTTCTCATTAATGGAAATCAAAATTTTCATTGGTCACTTTTCCGGTAATAAAGACTTTTATTTCTCAGTTGTGAAGGTAGATGTGGCTCTGGGATTTGTGAGATGGCTGCTTAAAGGGAAGCTGACTTAGCTGAGACCGCTGCAGTTTCACTCTCTCCCTCTCCCTCCCTCTGCTGACCTGGAATCCAGATACAGTTGCTGGAGCTTCAGCAGTCATCTTGGACCCTGAAGCAGTCT